CCAACAGCGTCTCTTTGGGGGTGACAGGCGATGGTGACCATCCTGGCGGGGGACCTGTCACGAAGGCCCTCCGAGCCCACTCCTATTTGTTGCAGGAGAATGATCAACTTGTAACATATTAAACAAACTAGTATCATCCATATTGAAAATATCTTTATTAGGAAACCAATATATTTTTTCCCTTATAGACTCCAATTTTTGCTCCATGTCCTGTGTGTCAACCATACCAATTTCTCCAAAACGACGGTATGACTTGATACCATGTCTCAGCTTGAACTTCTCAAGCCAACCTAACGAAAAGGTTGTGCTCAGAAGGCTGCTGAGGGTGTACAAGTTTCATCGTCTCTCTTGCATTCTCCAAAATTAGCTCTCCAGTAATATTTACATGGCCTTGGTATTGGAGAAACCACTCATATGACCTTCTACATCTCTGGAAAATTTGTTGGTTTGTGCCGTTTAACATTCCCTACTTTTTCTAAGTTAGCTGAAAGATACTCAGTTAATCTCTTGATAGTGTTTGATATTGTACATTGACTAACTTTCAAATGATATTTTCATCAAACCATTGTGGTAATTCTTTTTGAGTGATCATACGGGTGATCTCTCATATACTCACAAAATGTTTTTCGTATTTGATCGGTCATGGTTGTTTAACCTCTTTTAGATGAGTCGCCATTGTTGGATAAGAAAACTACACCAAACATATAAAACCCTAAAACATAAACCACATATTTATAGCTACCTAATATTTGTTAACTAAGAAACACTTTTTTCTAATGTATCTTTGACTCTTGAACCTATAAATTTCTTTCCAAATTTAATTAACACTTTTTCCTAAAAAGTTTACTTGCTCACCAAGTACAAACTACACTTTCCAAAAATTATACTTGCTACATTGGGAAAGCACTCTTTAAATTAATAAATTATTAATTTATTGATTAATTAATATCTTTCTAACTTTAACATTATAAATAATTATTAATTTATAGAGGGTTACTGTATTTAAAAAAGCTCTTTCTATTGAACTTTTTAATATTGCTTACCGAACAATATATTTTTAAAAAGGAGATGCTACGGTCCCGTTACGGAACCATTCCGTCGGGGTTTGTAACCGTTAGATCATCATGTAACTGTCGGGGATAGATGATCTAACGGTTACAAACCACAACAAAATGTTTCCATAACGGGATAGTAGCATTTCCCATTTTTAAAAATAATGATAAGTCAAACTTCAAATTCATCTCGGCCAAGAACTCTGAAACGTATAATTATGCGGAGTGCGCTGTTTATTGTACGAACTAGAACAGGAACTGAATAATGCAGAAACAATAAACCGAAGATTAAAAACTCTTCAGGGAAGCATCCCACTTCCCCTCAGAGCTCTTTCATTGATAGATCGAACACGAACATAGTTTGGACTTACAACGACTCAAACTCCCTTTAAGCCTAGCCAACACTACTCACGATCCTACCAACTATTTCTCCGGCCACGTCCCATGGACTTCTTATCGTATACTTACTCCTTAAGTGTAAAAGCAGAAGACAGTTTGATGAACCTAAGAAACCAAAACAAAACAGCTTCAGTCCTAGAGTTTGTAAGAACTCTTGTACTGAACTGTGTACAACTGAATAGAACAGAAATGTGAAGCTCGAATATTGCTCTAAAAGTATCTCTAAACTCCGCAGCCGCAATAAGAGCTTCCTCTAGGGTATTTATGCAAACTCCTTAGGGTTGGAGTCTTCTTCAAGGCATAGGACTCTTAAGCTTGATTTTCTTCCAAAGTTATAGCTTATCTTAGGTAAGTGAATCTTCTATTCTCTCTCCTAGATCTCCTTATTATGCACGCCTCTTCTCTTTTTATCTCCTCCACGTCCGATTTCCTATAAGATAAAATACCATAATAAGACCCATAATATCTTATATATGGAATATAAAATAAACTTAATTAAGGAAATAAAATATTTAAAGATCTTCCCTTTTTCTGTGGTTGCAGGTGCTTGTTCGAATTAACGAACTAATGCCAAAATAAAAATATCTTTCAATCTCCCCCTTTGGCATCTAGTTCGAAAACAATAGACATGAAGGTCTCCTGAAATTAAAACAACAAGCACCAAGAAACAAACCACATTAAGGGGTTAGTTCACACAGAAATATTATACTCGCAGTTCTCCCCCTTAGTACCTGCAGCCTACACAACTTAACAATATGAATCTAACAATTATCCATGCAATCAAAATAAGCAGAATAAGCAGTCATCAAAAACATCAAAACACCTACATTCAAAATACTAAGAAAAAGTAGCAATACGACCACATCATCAAAAGCAAACAAAATAAAAGGTTCTTCATTACAAAAAGACCTCACTACATCACTCAGTTCAAACCAGCCTACTACTCATCAGCATAATAATTAGCAATGGCCTCATCAGTGCTATCTCCCCCAGAATCATCTTCATCATCACCTTTGCTAGCAGCAGCAAAACCCTTCTCCCCCTTTTTCGAACTACGGGATGCCGAAGGGCCTGTCCCCATGTTCTTGCGCTTTGCCCCCTTGACAGCTTGCAGCACTTGCCATAGATAGGCTTGTTGAGCAGCTACTTTCTTGGCCAAATCATCCCACTCTCCAAGTTGTTGAGCCACAAACGCATCCCAGTTTTTAGGAACCAAGGAGGGAGCCAGTTCCCTTGCGACCTTGGAGGTTCCCTTTTCATTGAGAGTACGAGCACTCACAAAGAATGCTTTTCCTGGGTTCTCAAGAGAATCTTGGTAGCGGGGATTAACAGAAAAATTGTGGGCAGCCAAGAAGGACCAAATAAGACAGGGAAAAGGAAGGGTCTTGCGAGACTCAATATTAGTGACAAAGGTGTGAAGAATATCAAAGAGCAAATCTCCAAAACTGAAAACCTTCCCAATCATGACCCAATAAATGACCTTGCTCTGGGACTCTGTGAGAAGAGTTTTGTTCGAAGTTGGAGTCCAGTTCCCAGCACCAATCTTATGCAACAGATTGGCAACCAAACAGAGTGAACTGACAGGCAAATTAGAACCAGGCCAAGTATCCAACTGACCAGAAGTAAGAACTTTGGTCATAGCATCTAAGTCAACTTCAGAGAGGGAAGAGTTATCAAGATCAGAGGGCAAACCAAGATGAACATTAAACAAGGTAGGAGACACATCAATCACACGGTTTCGAAGAAAAATCTTGTGAAAACGGGGACTATTGGAATCAAACACTGCAGGGGTGAGATTAGCATAAAATTCTTTGACAACTTGCCCACAGAAAGGCTGAAGATCAGACACAGTTTTGGACAAACCAACAGACTCTATCAGACGAAGAATGCCAAGATCAGCAAACTTACCATCTTCCACAGCACGTTCGGACCAGAAACCGTAAGAACCAAAGCTAACAAAGCGCTCATAAGCCGCCTCTATATAGAACCGATTGGTGAAGGTGTTCTCAAGGTCATAAGAATCGTCCTCAGGTTCAGGAGGAACGGGCGGTGCATCAATAGATTCTTTACCACGGCGGCGAGTGGAACGGCGAACTGGCATCTTCGATGGTGGCGTGGGCTGATCAGAATGAACTTCGACTAGAGTTGCAACAGTGTCTTCTTTTTCTTCTTCGACTGCTTTGGTCGTGGTCTTGGACGCTGTCTTGGTTGCAGACCTGCTCGCAGAGGTGGGAACAGCAGACGACTCCCCCTGAGTCTGAGCCTCTGGAACGTTATCGAACCCTGACAAACTAGGTACACCTGTGGCAAGTGGAGAGATCTCAAGATTTTTCTCGGCATTGTCGGAGTTGGACGGAGAACCAGACGAGGTTGCAGACAAGGAAGGTTGCGGCGACTCGTGAGATGGGGATTTTGCCGGCGGAGGAGAGGGTTCACGGACAGAACTTGCAGAGAGAGAGAGACGACGGCGCTTCAGTCTCTTCTCCTTGTGTTTCTTGAGTCTCTTTTTCGACTTGTCCTTGCTTCCAGCCATGGGAGAAGAACGGCGATTGAGATTGAAGAATAGGGTTTCAGAAGATTTGAAAAGAAGAAGGATGTTGGACAAAGAGAGAGAGAAAGATGGAGAGAATTTGAGTAATAATGAAAAAGTGAAGAGAGACGTGAGATATGTAATGTTCTGACATTGAAAACTGCAAAAAGGCAGTCTCCGTTGTTCAAGGGAGAGAGATAGGACAGTTTGAGCGGTTTTAGGAGATAAAAAAAACGGCAACTTATCCCTCCAAAAATCGAATTAAAACACAATAACACTCCTCACACAAATAACCTCTCACATTATTTTGAAATTTAGGAAAGAAATCAGATTTCATATTTGAGCACATATTCTCCACAAAATTTTAGACTCAAATAGATCATGTTCAAGAAGGAAATCATATGCAATTATGCCTAAATTATGAGAAATAAAAATAAGGAATAAAAAATCGCACACAGAATACACTAGATTCAAAAAATCTTTTTCTTCTCAACTTAGACAAAATCGATGAAAATAGCTCAAGATTAACTTTGATATTCAGACTTCCCAAGGAACATACGATAAACAGATATATGTATATACACAAGGTAGTACGAACCACAACTTCAATTCTGCAAGAACACATGCCTTATTATTCATAGTGCGTTTCACTTACTAACAATCACTGCAGTAGTGAAAGTCAACCCCACTACTTTGCACCACGATTTTAAGCAAGGATCCTACGTTTTTTTTTTTTTTTTTTAAACAGCACTACGTTTTTTACGAGGGTGGCCACCTTATTACTCCGAGTAAGAACACCACATAATAATATGCAATGCGTGTCACTAGCTTACGCCATTTCTTAACATTTTCTGTCCCAGACGCTCTTTTCACAGTCGATCCCGCATTGGAAAACGAACCATGTGCTAGCTATCGCTCTAGATCATTTACGAGAAGGCAGCTCTTTGTGACAAAAAATAAAAATACAGAAAATAAGTACATTCCTTATTACCGTTAGAACACGCAGTCAGTCTTAGACAATCAACACCTCTCAAGTTTTCAGAAGAGTTAGAACTTCAAACTCTAATTAGCAAACAAGGTCGTTGGTTTTAGTTTGTATGGTGTAATTTGTAAAATGGCAATTGTCACGGTCACATGACAGTGAATGCAATTTAGCAGTAATATTATTTTATTCACAGTATCTTTCGAAAAGAAAAGAGAAACAATAATTAATGGAAAGTTGAGCACAAGAGGGAGGAGTAGGGAAAGGCTGGCGGGCGACGAAGAATGAGACGGAATTCCGTAGGTTCTCTTCTGTTCAGCGGAGAAGATGGGCAATTGCGGCACTAGGGAGGAGTCAGCCGTCGTCTCTACTGCTCATCAACATCAAGGTTTTTTTTTTTTT